TATAAATACGCTTTTACCGGATAATAATCATCTCACTGACACAAATAGTGATTTGGCTAAAGATCTTAGTTCTACACGAACGATTAATGATGAAATAACTGCCTTGGCTATGAAGAATCTGAAGTTATCTCGGGCTGGTGATTTCGAATCTTTAAAACGTGTTGTTAGTGATTATATAAAATTTGACGGGAAATGGACTTCGCCCGGAGGAGAGAAGAAAGTTTGCAGTAATCCAGATACATCTATCACCTGGTGGAAAAATAAAAAGTTCCTTCTGGTTGAAGGTAATCAAGCTAAAAGGATAATTGAACTATTTATTGTAATTTTAACGAATATCGCTTCGTTTCGCCCCTCAGATCGGCCGGGTAATATAAACATAGATCTCCCGAATTCAGATAAAATTAATCTTGTTAGTTCCTGTTCGTGCAAATGTAACAATTTGACTGTTGATATCGAAGGAATAAAACTAGATAACGTGGTTCTTGAGTCGAGGATGGAACATAAAACCAACACTAACACTGAAATTATCAATAATGTACAACAAGAGTTGCTTAAGTTGCAGAGTAAATGTGACATGTTAGCAGATCGAGGGGGAAATATAGAGAGCTCAAACGATGAGCGAGACAGTGATACTATCGCTAGTTTGGAACGCCAAAATAAATTTCTTGTTGAGGAGGTGAAAACCTTAAATTTTAAGTTGGAAAATCTCGAGAAGAAGGCAAAAGCTGAGAACGCAAAAGCTGAGAACGCAATTAATATTCATGCTAATGATATTTCCTCTCCTAAAACCACCCATGTGAATAATGAAATGCATGTTATGAGTATAAGTAACCTTATTGTTGATGACTCTGAAGAAATTAGCATTGTTTCTAGCGTTAATGACCCGTACCACACTAATGTTGGTCACAATACGTGTAATGGAAATCAACCGAGTGGCTCTTTACCTAAGGAACCTTGTTATCCCCATGAGTCTAATCAACAACAAAGTATTCCAGTTCGTATTACCTCAATTAGGAAATCAAAACAAACCCGTAAAAAAGTTAACTTGAGACAAACAGAGCTCAACCGTTCAAATACGGTTTATAGCGTGGAAAGTTGTGTATCTACACAGGGGAGTAAACAATCAAGATCATCCGACAAAAACAAAAGTCATAACAATCACAGAAAAACCAACAATGAGGGTTTTTGTACGGGTCTCTCGATGAGAGACAAAATAGGATGGTTCAACTTTTATTACTGAGTCCCGAAACATTGGAAACTTCTACCACGGTAAACTTTACCGGTGTGAATTATAATAATTTAATTAATATTCCCTTGACTGAATCGGTAAGAAACCAAAGTGATGCTGACGTAATGCCAAAGAAACTAACTTGTCTCAGATTTGCTTGTGTTAATGCTCGGTCTTTAAGAAACAAAACAGCAGATGTTGTTGATCATGTTGTGAATTCTAATATTGACATTTGTGTTTTTACTGAAACCTGGCTGAAAGATGTTGACTCGGTTACGATTGCCGCTCTTTCTCCTAATGGTTACTGTTTTCAAAATTCGCCCAGAGAAAATGATAGATCAGGCGGGGGAGTTGGAGTTATGTACAAGAGTATAATGAGAACTAAGTTGATGGACGCTAATCAGTTCAGATCGTTTGAATTTTCTGAGTGGAATGTAACAATTCAAAATCAAGTTATTAAACTTGTTGGTGTGTATCGTCCGCCATCCTCTACTAACTATCCTCAACCCGTGAGTTTGTTTTTTGAGGAATTTTCTACTTACCTTGAAAGTATTGTGATATCAACTGAGAGGTTACTTATTTCAGGCGATTTTAATTTCCACGTAGAATCTACTGACGATACTAATGCCAAAAGATTCTGTGAGCTTTTGGAAACATTTGGTTTAACCCAACATGTTGCCTGTCCAACTCATACTTCTGGACATACTCTAGATCTTATAATATCTAGATCAATTAATGATGTGATTATAACTGAATTAGAATCTACGTTGGCTTTATCTGATCATTCGTTCATCGAGTGTAATTTGAATATGCCTAAGCCAAATTTTGTTGTTAAGGAACTTCGATTCCGTCAGTTGAAAAGGATAGACATTCCCATGTTCAAAAACGATATTTCCAGGTCTGAATTATGTGTCAATTCCTTTTCGGATATTGATGAGTTTACACGTTGTTATGATACGACTTTGTTAAATCTTTTTGATAAATACGCTCCTATTAAGACGAAAAAGATGGTTATGAGACCTGTTGTATCTTGGTTCACTGATGATCTTAAAAAGCTTAAAGCTGAACGACGGAAATGCGAAAGAAAAATGCTTCAATCTGGTTGTTCCCATGATAAAGAGCTTTATTATAAGACTAGAGATAAATACAGTGCCCTTCTTCGTAAAACAAAGACTAGCTATTATTCTGATTTAATTGACAAATACTCAGGCAATTCTAAGAAATTGTTTCGTGTTATCAATTCATTGTCCAAACAGAAGTCATCTGAAAGTTTACCACCTTATGAGGATCCGTTGATTCTGGCGAACGAATTTGGAACATTTTTCGGTCGAAAGATTGAACTTATCAACGACGAAATTAATAAGATTGATGTTAATCCAATAACTACTGAACATCGTTTACCTGAGGTATTGCTTAAATCCTTTTCTCCTGTGTCGCAAGATGATATACGAGGAGTTATTTCGAAAGCATCAAATGCCTCTTGTCAACTTGATCCAATACCAAATTATTTGCTTAAGGATTGCTGTGATGTTCTGTGTCCGATAATTACAAAAATGATCAACATGTCGCTGGAGAAAGGAATAGTTCCTGAAAATTGGAAATTGGCACTTGTAGATCCCCGTCTTAAGAAACTTGGTATGGATTTAGTGTTTGAAAATTTTAGACCTGTTAATAATCTTCATTTTCTTGCAAAGGTAGCTGAGAAAGTTGTCATGTCGCAATTAGTTAATCATTGTAACGAAAATGCACCACTGCCTGTCAGTCAATCAGCATATCGTCAGTTCCATTCAACTGAAACTGCGCTGCTTAAAGTGCAGAATGACATACTTATTAATATGGACAACGAAGAGGTTACGTTGCTTGTTATGCTCGACATGAGTGCTGCCTTTGACACTATAGACCATAATATTCTTACTGATATCCTCAAGAATGATTTTGGAGTAGTGGACAGCGCACTTCAGTGGTTTAGATCGTATCTGGCTAATAGAAAGCAGCAAGTTGTCATTGATCGCTGTAAGTCCTCCGAGTTTATGGTTGCTACTGGAGTTCCCCAGGGCAGCTGCCTGGGTCCTGTTCTATTTTTACTTTACGTGTCTGGCCTTTCTGAGATTATTTCTAAACATCTGCCCTGTCATCATGCTTATGCAGATGACACACAATTGTATCTTTCTTTTAAACCTCAGAACCCATTGCATCAGGAGGCAGCTGTTAAAGCAATGGAAGATTGTATTGATGAGCTTCGAAACTGGATGTGTGCACATCGTCTTTTTATTCAAAGTAGCAAGACAGAATTCATTATTATTGGCTCTCGTCAGCAATTATCGAAAGTATCGATTGACAAATTGAGGGTAGGAGAAGTATCGATTTCTCCAGTAGGCGCTGTTCGTGATCTTGGGTCTTGGTTAGATACTCATATGTCCATGAATATGCATATTAACAAAATCTGCAACAAGGCCTTTCGAAGCCTTTACCATATCAAACAAATCCGGAAATACTTAACTGACGATGCTACTAAAATTTTAGTTCATGCATTTATTACATCCCATTTGGATTATTGCAATTCTTTGCTGTATGGAATTCCAAAATATCAATTAAATCGATTGCAGAAAGTGCTAAACGCTGCTGCTCATGTTGTATGTCTCGTACCTAAGTTTGATCATATTACACCTACATTAATGAGACTGCATTGGTTACCGGTTAAATACCGTGTTATATTCAAGATCGTACTGTTGGTTTATAAAGCTCTACATGGATTGGCTCCCAAATATATTCGTGACATGTTGACTTATAAACAAAGTAATAACTACTCTTTGAGATCGGACGAACTAGGGCTTCTTCATGTTCCAAGCACACGTAGAAAGTCTTTTGGTTATCGCGCCTTTTTGAAAGCAGGACCTACTCTATGGAACTTAGTACCGTGTGAGATTCGGCTTTCACCTTCGTTGGATTCTTGCTTTTAAGACAAATCTTAAGACATTTCTGTATAGAGATGCGTACATTAATAATACTTCTTGTTTTTAAATATTTTTAAATAGATGCTTATAGTACTTAAATGTTGAGTAATAACGTATTGAAATTTTAAAATTAGCTTCCTATTTTATGTAATTAAGCGCTTTAGAATATTGTATAGTTTTAGCGCGGTATAAATTAATAAATTATTATATATATATATATATATATATATATATATATATATATATATATATATATATATATATATATATATATATATATATATATATATATATATATATATATATATATATATATATATATATATATATATATATATGTATATATAGATAGATATAGATATAGATAAAATAAACCTGGTTTACTTCATAAGATTTATTCACTACAAATTTGTTTCGTATGACAAGCAATGCTTGCCACACTCATCAGATCAATTTAAATTCACCTGATG